CTCACATTTGCCTTGTTTACAACCATCAAGACAGTAAATTATGCTGTCACAGTAAAGAAATTTTTCTCCACTTTACAAACCCTCTAGATATCCCCTATCACACAAAAAACCCACATCCACTTAGAGCTCCAAGACTAAACATTTTTAAAAGAAAATATAAATGTTTACAAGAACCTAAACCCAAATACTCTGTATACACGCAGTACAATCTCTTTCACTTTCAATTAAAGTACGTGGGTAGACAAGGAACACTAAGAATATAATCAAGAGCTATGGTTATTTGTCACCATAAGAAGATATATTCTGAGCTACTAAATTCCCCATGAATACCCTCCAGTTCTTGAGTTAAAAGTGTGTTTTGAAGGACCCAACTGCATTTCTCAAATATGTCAGTCAATCGACACTTCAATTATTAGCGATAAGTGTCACTTACTTTGTCCATTATATGGAGTTCCTCCATAAAAGCAAGCTACTGTTAGCTTTCTTGTGATGTCCTTGAAATCTTTGGCAACTTGGTTTGCCAGCTCTCTTGTGGGACAAAGAACTAGTACCTAGACAGAACACAGACAAACAGATATTCTCTCTGTGTGGCCTCAGCCAAGAAACCACTAGACTTCTAATCATTAGTTTAGGTCTGACCATTTACATATTTAAAAAAAAATATCTGGTTTAAATAGTTATCTAAGCAAAGATTAGAGAAACACACTCCTTAAGTTTCTTGTAACATCATTAATCTCCTTCAGCACAAGCTCATTTAGGAAGGTTAACTTATTTTTAAGTGAGATAGGAGGTACTTAAATCTTATTTAACTTTGCTCTTGAACAGATCAGCTACAAGTTGTCTTTTACATACACATATGCCATTTGAATACAAGATTGAAGGATTTGGGTAACAAAAGGGTTTTACACATGCTCAGTAATGCTTCACAGTCCCATAAGAAGGTGTAAGGAAGAGCTATCAACTGTCTATCAGCTTCCCCGTGACTCAGGGAAACATATGTTCAGTCTGCAAAGCTGGTGTTCAGTATGGTTCTGGAGCCCATGCTGATATCGCCGCAGAAGCAACTGAGGAACCATCCTCTCTTCCAACATACAGGCGATGGACAAGATACTAGCTAAGAGCTTTAATTAATTTAGTTCAATGCATGACTGTAGTACTGCTCTCAAACCCTGCATCAGTGGCTTGACAAAAGAAACCTTAAAATCTCTATCCCGTTACTTCTTTCAACATTGAAACACATCACAAAAAAGAAAGGAATAGTGTGTACTATGGTAGAGGGAGGCTTGAAATCTTTTTTATTTTAAGACTTGTGACTCCCTCAAAGAAAGCCTTCCCTTCTCCGCAAGACTGCGCCAGACCTAGAGCCAGCATTCTCAGACAGACAGCGTGATGAGCAGATGCAAATAAAACAGCTAGCACTAGTTTTGGAATGAGTTTCAGGTAATCTACGAGATGGGTGACAAGACAAAATAAACTGACCAAAAAAAAAAAAAAATCCACTATTAATGGGGATACGATAAGCTTAGGCCTATCTAGTTTGGGAGGGCATCACAAGAATTCGGTGAAAAAACATACATGGAATGACATGAATCTGCATTCTCTGGAGCAGAAGAATATCTGGTGGTGATCCTAGTAAAAACTAAGTCTATTTTTAAAACCTCCCACCATTTACATGTTTAACTAGACAGTTTCTATAAATCAGAAAAAGTTGCTAATCTGTTACTAATCTGCGATAAAAACAAGCACACAGTAACCACTGGACCTGAACAGGTAAGGTCACTGAACAAAATTTAATAGGAACACGTTGAACATCCGTAGTTTCAGTCTGTCTTTACAGCAGAAAAAGGAACTGACAAATGGATAAAGCTATTTTGCTCTTTACTCTTGATCAGAGGGTGTGAGGCAGCACAGGATGCAGGCAAAGCCCTACAAACACAGCTTTTAAAGAACCTTTAATGTGGGTTAGCTTGTCCCTGCACAAACCTGAAGAACTCTTCCAGTGGGTTAAAACTCTGAATCACTCTGACATAAGACAAAGCAAAATCAGCATTCTAACTAAGCACAGTTACCTTTGGTGAACGGCCTCTTCTTCTTTCCTGCGAGTCTCCCTGAAGCTTTTCAATCAAGGGAATAGCAAAAGAGAATGTTTTCCCTGTTCCAGTTCGTGCTTGAGCAATTACATCTTTGCCAGAATATACTGGGTCGAAGGTCTTCACTTGCACAGGAAACAGGTAAGTCACCCCTCGAGCTGTGACAATTTCAACAGACTTCCTTAATACAATCATTTTATAAGTGTTCTTTCATACCCTTCAGAGGAAGTTATCCCAAATACAACTTCCATCAACTCTAAAGTAAGTCAGGACTATATTATCACCTCCACTGATTTATTTAATCACAGAGTTCATCTGTAAAGAGTGCTCTGGGACTGTCCATTTTATTCTCCCACTTCATACCACCAGACACAGTGCTGGCTGGGACAGATGAAGTTACTAGCCTTTAATGCAAGTCTTTAAATACTGTGGCTTTATTTATGTAATATTCCCATCTATGAAAATCTCTTCCTTTCAAACAAAACATATGTCAAAACCACTTCTATTCTTCTCTTAATTCATACTAAATCACACACAAACTATCAAAGAGACTAAATATAACTGGTTTTCCCTTACTCACACTCAAATAACATTTAATTGAAAAATTCTCACACAGAATTTTTTTTTGAGCTTATGTCATTTAAAATTCTATTGTAAAGGCCGAACTGAGCAATACTGCAAACAGAAAAGTCTGCATGTTCAAAGATGTATTTACCATAGGCAATCAGTATGCCTTCTTTATAGCATCTGTGCTTATACATGCACAGCGCACATCTCAAAGCTCATTGACTGAATATGTTGAGCATAAAAACACATGATGGAGATAATTTACTTTCTGTGGTCATATCATGCCAAGAAATTTACCTTGAAGAAGCTGAATGGTCCCTTTGGAAATAGAAAAATTGGAGAAAGCACCCTCTTTCTGTTCTTCAGTCATCTCCTGTTAGGTAAACAATAAATCAGATAACATTCCATGTGAATATCATATGACCATCTGAAAAGTCAAGGTAATGGCATAGGCACTGGTGTCACAGCCAATGGTCAAATTTTCAGCTGCAGCTAAAGAGCCTTCTGTGTTTTATTTACTATCATATTTCAAAGTTAGACAAAAGTGATCTGTAATTTAAGTTACGGCTGTTTCATACCTAATGGCACAACTCTGTAAATGCAAAACACCCAAACTAAAACTCTGAAAACTTTTAATTAAGTTTTAACATTTAATTTTAAATAATTACCAATGGTCTAACAGATTATGTTGTAATACGCAAGAATCAGGCTTGATATCTAGCTTATTTCCTACTTCCCAATTAATACAGCACAGTGATTTACAGTGTGGCTGCCCCCTCCCTGGCAGTGTTCAAGGCCAGGCTGTATGGGGCTTTGAGCATCCTGGTCTACTGGAAAGTGTCCCTGCCCATGGCAGGGGATTGGAACTAGGAGATCTTTAAGGTCCCTACCAACGCAAACCGTTCTGTGATTCTGTAATTTACAGACACAGAAATCAATCCTCAAAAGAGTAACATTATGAGATAAAGCATCAAACGTACCTACTTCGCAATGCATCACTTCCACATATGTTTTAACAGCACAGTGTTTAAAATGCTAAGCATGAGGAAAGAATGCTAACCCTGGATGCTTTGTGAACAAGAAACAAAACCAAGCAACAGCAGATATACAAGTACGAGGACTTTTCAAAACAAATTCTAGGTACAACCCAACATGTTTCCATGTTTCCCTTCAAAAAAAAAAACATGGCTCATGTCAAGCAATTTTAAAAGAACCTAAATCAAACAGAAATAGACAAAACAAAAACATTCTTACATAAAAGCTTAAAAAAACCTTCTAAAACCACTACAACATGATGTTTTATTACCTTAAGAACCATCTTATCACATTAAAAGCTACTATTTAATAAGATGATACATAAAAACAAATTAAAACATAACTTTTCTTTTTCCACTAGTTAAAACCAGGTAATTCTTATTTCACTAGAGAAGTACGCATAGTACCAAAAAGAAGACAAATTATTTGTGGCAACTACAATCATATCTAATGATGCCGAATCACATTAAAGCACCATCTCACTGCAGCTCATCCATCTGCCAACAGCTACCACGGTAGCGGACTGCTGAAGTGAGGTAACAAAGGTGCGGTAATCTAGAACTTCAGCACTTTCATAATTTAAAGTTTTTGCAAATAATCGACAGAAGAGACAGTTCAAGAAGCTTTGAACCCCGAAAATCTATACTAGTCTTTCCACTGACTGGGGAAAAAAAAAAAAAAAAAGGAAAGATGACCTGTTCTGAATTTAACCTGGTTGCAGTGCAGGAGTGGAAAGCTAAACACATCACTATAACTAAATCAATCATTAGCTTTACCTGCTCTTGCTCACTGTCACCATCGCCACTTGACGTTTCACTAGAATTATTGTGCCGCTTTTTATGGGTAGATTTAATGTTTAAGGAAGATAATCTCGTGTTCTCTGGGCTTTCTTCTCTTGTATCACCGTTTTGTTTAACACTACTCTTTGTTTTCTTGAGTTTCGGGGAATCAACTTCATCCTCAGACTGCTCACTTTCATCCATCTGAGTCTTCCTCTTCCGAGATTTGTCATGGCGTTTAGATTTCTTCTCTTTTTTCTCCTTCTGGTAAGGCACAGAGCAACACAGCAATAAACGACGGTCCAAGTAACACAAAACAGAGAAGACGTTGCAGAACAGTCGAAACCAGCAATCTATTTTCAAGTTATTGACGGAGGGGCTCGTATAAAGGCACACACCCCTCCCTGCCGCAGCTCAGGTGCCGCCAGGAAGCATTTTCCTGACCACGAGACACCCAGGCCTTCATTTTCGGGACTCCTCCCCACCTCAACGTGCACCCGAAAGCGCACCCCGGAGCGCTGCACGACAATGACGGCCACATGCCTGCTCCAGCAGGCCCACCACCCCCGGTGGGGCCATCCCGACACGGGGCGGGAGCTGCG